CATATGTAGACAATTATGCACATCGACTATATTCCTATGTAATATTTTTGTGTGGATGTGGATAGATATATGGTATTTATATACATAAAATATTCTACATACTGCAGAAAAAAATAAAAAAAGGAAAAATATTTTTTCTTTCTCAGTTCGATGATCATCATTCATTCAAAGTCAATTTTTCTGCAATTATTCTATCTTAAATGCATGGTTTGTCTAGCTGCAGGTTCCCTCTCTGTTACTTGACTAAGGTCTCTTCTAAACTAAAACTTGAAATATTCCCTTTTTAAATAGAAAACCCCCGAAGTACACATATCATCTGGTAAGAATGCCATGAAAAATATTCAGGGGTACTAATAATATAATTTGTAAGCATATTCGAAAGGTTTCAAAAAATTATTTAATCAGACTCATTTCCCCAAAAAAGATATACATAAGATTACTTGGTGTACTAGTTAATATCCAGGAGGTAGATATAGACACATTCCAAACAGAACACTACCTCCAGAAATAATACAAAGTAATTATTAGGGATTCAGTGGCAAGATATTTTCTCTCATTCTTCTGTACACTTAGAAGGTATCCTTTATTAACATCAAATATCTACAATAATGTTAGTAAATTTCTTCTGAAATTTCTTATAAAAAAGAATAGAAATTCTGAAACCCATCATAACCTGTTTATTCCCTAGGCTCCAAAGTATACTATCGCATTGTATGCCAATATATTATGTGTATTAATTTGTAATTTTGATTATTATAACAATCAGGAATTAAGTTTAACATTTTATAGTTTCTGTTATATACTTGAAAAATCTAAGATCAGACAGATACAGATCTTTACCCTCAAGAAACCCAGAGAGCCAGACTTTTAGTATCAGGGATCCAACTCACAACCTTGCACTTGCCAGGCAGGCACTTATACTGCTCAGGTAAATCCTTGGCTGCCAATAGCTGGATATTAAACAGATTCAAATTCAGATCTTTTTGGCCACAAATATGGTTCAGCAATTAATTTGTGTGGAAAAATTTACTTACAAGTTTTATAACTAACACTTCAGATAGAAGTGCATTTTCATTGCAGTGGTATCATTTATAAATTTATATTAACATTTTTAAGTGTAAAGATTCTTTTGACTATCTATACAGAAGTAGATATTCAGTGATTTTATGTAACAGAGCACCAGTATAACAGACAAAATCATTATACCTAATGAATGATGGATTTATTCCCTACATTGAATTTTAAATTAATAAGATATACACTTTGTGAATTAAGCCATCATCACAAATTTTTTCTTTCAGTTTTCCATCTTTGAGTAAATCAGTATATATAAAACACAGAATTATCAGTGAGACTGCTAATATCATCACACACGAACACATGAACCAACATATACTATCTTCAAAGTAATGTAAATCTAAACACTACCTCAATCTGTGTAATTTGGGGGGGACATAAAAGGAAAACTATTGCTTGCTTTCCTCAGATTGATGATCACTATTCACTGTCAATTTTTCTGAAGTTATCCTATCTTAAATGCATGATCCATCCAGCCTTAGAATCTTTATTACTTGGATAAATAAACATGATGACTAGTGTCCCTTCTAAACTACAAATTATAATGTTCCTTTTAAAAATAAAAATAGGTTACCACATAGGTTTCTGTGTACTGTATCAGGTGCAGAGACTTCTATTGTCATGTATAATAAAACACTGAGAAATTCAGAATCTAGGACACATAGTGAAAGGGATTTCTTTTTCCATTATTTTGATGAAAATTCAAATAAAGGTAAAAGTGAAGTACAGTAAGTGCTTTACATTACTTTATATATTCTGCCATTGGCAGTCATAGAAGAAAGCATCCTCAAAGCTAAATATTAAGATCTAGAAACAGAGATATTAGTTCAGATTTTTGAAATGTTTGTATATAGTTTGCATCTTTATTACTGCCCTGTGTAAGTTATAACATATCTTTAAATAAATTTTTTTACTGAAAAGTAAACTACAAGCACTGAGAATATATGTATACTGATATAAAAATGATAAATGTTCCTTCATCTTGTGAAATTTACACATCAAACACAAACTTGCACATTTCCACATTCTAAAAAATTATTCTTGGTGCTTGAATTGCTACCTAAAAATTTCATTCTTTTTTTCTTTTAACTAATGTGTACCAAATCTATGTGGTATGACAAGCACTATTTGTTTGAAAGATTATAATTCTACTTCAGGAAGATACAAGATTCAGAAGAAAATACAAAATTTTTAACCCTGAAAAACCACTATTGTAAAGTAAATTTCTTCCTTCTCCTCCACTTCCTCTTTTCTGTCTTTTACCTCTTATTTATCTCTTCTTTCACTATTGCTGATTGAACCTTTGCTAGGCAAGTGCTCTACCACTGAGCTAGAATCTCAACTGTATTATAAGTTTTGTTTTGAGACAGGGACTTGCCAGGCTGAAAGTTCAGGCCTCACACTTTCAATTGTCCAACCCCAGCTCTGCAAAGGCCTGGGATTATAGATGAGGACCCTGGAATTTGAAATGTGTTCATTGCTTTTCTTGCCCATTTATTTTTAAAAAGTTATGTGCTTCTAAAATTACTTAATATAGAATATACAATTGTATTGTATCATTCTCAGTATTCTTTTTCTATCCTTTTTGACCTAACCTTTATATGTTATATTACAGTTTTATACTATGAATTTTAGTGTCAGAGAATCCTTTTTATATTTTTAAATATTACTAATAATTATTTATTTATAACAATATTAATGATTATGTCCTATTATTAGGTATTGAAAAAGTCACTTAGATTCTTAGATATATAGCCCTACCTGAAAATGAGATAAAACCAACACTGCAATTTTATTATTAAAAAGGAAATAAATGTATAATTAAAGGTCTATGATTGATGGATTGTACATATTCAGTAATATTCATATATAAATGACACCCTTTGATATTTATACATGACTTTTTAAATGTTGTGTTTAAATGTAGTCAATTATGTTTTAGAGATATTCATTGTGAAATGTTTTACAGTAGTCGAATTTCACAAAGCCTATCATATGCACTCTATCTGTAAAGTATGTATATGGTGAGATTTAAAAATGTTCTGGGATGCTATAAAATAAAAGAATCAATTCTGATGAAAGATTTGAAATTATTCAAATTAATTTATATTTTGGACTTCTGCATGGCAGCACAAATGCTGATGCCTCAGTTTTAATATATAATATTCACCAAAATGGAAATGCTATATATCTCAAAGTTTGATTAATGGTAATTTATTTCTAAATATTCAAATTTCATATTCAATGAGAATGTAAGCCATGCTTTTGATGTAAAAATATCATAGTTTGCATATATTTTCAGGAACAAAACATATCCTAATATATTATTTTTCATGATTTCTTATTTCTTACTTCAATTCTTCATATATTCTAAATATATTTAAGTTAATTCTACTTTCCCCAAATCTACAAGTTATTAAAATATTGGAAACACCATGTAATTCTGGACACAATGTGCATATTGTATCCAGAACTCCTGAATATCCTTTGAAGTGTTGCCTTTTATCCCATGTTCATGGAATAAACATGGCCATATTTGAATGTTACTTAAAACATTTCTGCATTTCCTACTGCAAAACCCTGAAGCTTAATCAACCCTTTGAATTTAGAAGTTAATACTATAGCTTAAATTATTAGCTCCTTTATCTTTCAAGTTAGTTTTTTTGTGAACATAGCAAATTAAATTAATTCTCAGAATAATGAAAAATATGATAATAAACTTGAAGTCATTGCTCCTGCTTTGCAGACACAATGATATTCTATGAAAGTGTGTTGAATATTTACAGTGTATTGTACAATTCTACAATGTTATTTCTCACTTATTATTCTGTACATACTAAACCAATCCCTGTGGCCCACAGCATTAGTAATCTAGTCTGTCACTTCAGTCAAATTTTTAAAAGTTTCTTGTTAACTACCAATATCGTCTTAGCCATTTTATTACCTTCACAACTACTTAAAGTGCTTTATTTTGAATATTTAAAAAACATATACTCAGATTTTGTTAAAAACATGAATATGCAAGATAGCCTACAAATGACAACAACTAAGGTGCTAGTGTTGTACACTTCTTTATAAAACTGAACGTATGTGTGATTAGATTAATACAGTTTTTTCTGCCTTTCCAATCTCTATGAGTAAATACCATCAGAATGATAATTACATTAATTTTATTTACTCTTGTTTAAACTTTTACAAAGCACAATGCCTAATCACTTTAAACATTTATTTGCTTTTCTCTGAGAGTATCTGAGCTTGCCTCACCCATACACATGGACAATAGCTTTATTATTTTCCACTCAAGCCTGCTTAATTGAATGCTTCATGAGTGTCTTTGCCCTTTATTTCCTCTGGGATTTCTTTTGCCTTTGTGTCCTGTGCATTCTCCTGATTCCAATCAAGCAGCTCCTTTTTAGGGCTTTGCAGATATCCTGTGCTGCTTGGAGTTTTCTGCACACTGACATATACACAAAAGGTATTTATTGTATTCTCCACAAAAGGAAAAAAAAATACCCCACTCCTGTCCTCAATAACTGTTAACATCCTTTCACTGTGAATTCAATGCCATACTGCAAGAGCCACTGATCTAATTTCCAAAGAACTCTGAACTGAATGTGTTACTCTGAAGCTAGGGATTTGGGAGAGACAAACACAACATGTCCTCTTTTCCTTCTATCTTCTACTACCTAACTACATGATTTCTTACTTCTCCAATCAACACACATACTCCTTTTCTCTACCAAAGCATCATTTTTGAATTTCATTACTATTCAGTAGAAGTCTTGACATTATTCCATATACAGTGTACATAAGTGTGCACATATTCATGCCTATGTGTATGTTTTAAAAGATTATGAGCATAGAATGGCTGAATTTGGTTGGAATAATGATCCCTTTACACTTTTACTATTGTCTTTTTACAGGTGACAATATGTGCAGAGTAAATAATGGAGGATGTAGTACACTGTGCCTGGCTATTCCTGCAGGTCGTGTGTGTGCATGTGCTGACAATCAACTTCTGGATGAAAATGGGACAACTTGCACATGTAAGTTTCTTGTTCCCATCATTGTTTATGTGGATGTTTCTGAAAACAAGAAGCTGATGAAACCAAAGAAATTTAAAAAGTAAAACTTGGGCGGGGGATTTACCTCAGCGGCATAAGTGCTTGCCTTGCAAGCGTGTGGTCCTGAGTTTGACCATGGTACCAAAAATAAAATAAAATAAAATAAAAAATATCTGTAAATAAATAAAAATTAAAAATGAAACTTGAAAAGAACATCGCAGATGATTAGTTACAATATTATCCAGACTGCAAATTATTAATTCAAGCAATTTCTACTATACAAAAAATAAATTATAATGACAAAACCTTTGTGGAATATCTTGTAACTCCTTCATAAGGTTTAAAGAAATGTACATGAAAGAGTCAAATGTTTAATGTTTCATGAAATTTTAAAGAACTTCATCAGCAGTTTCAGATGAAAACATTATTATTGATAGATAGATGGAAAATTGAGGCCCAACACAGCCCTAAAATAATCTTAAATGACCTAAGATGCTCAGTTGTCTATCTTCGTGAGCAAAGCGCAAGGAAGGAGGCCAAAAAAAAAAAAAAAAAAAGCTTTTATGGACTTACATATTTTATCAGAGTAGAAAATTAACTAGATTGACTCGGACTAAAGGCACTTTTATTAACTTTTTCTGATATCTTTCAATTTATTGCATCTTATTATTCAAAACTGACTGTTGGAATTTTTTCTTTCTACCACAAATTGTGTCCCTTAGGCAAGATAAGTCCAACAAAATTATGTGTGTATCGAGCATGATATAAAAGTTTCTAAATGATTTAATCTTGAATTGTGTTTGGGTTCTCTAGAGAAACCTCGGGACCCTAGGATTGATGGATGCGTACACTAGATATATTGAATTTATATATATGAAAGGGAGAGAGATTCTGTGGAACTGGCTCAGATGAATATGGAGAATAACAGGCCTGAGGATCCACAGGGAGCTAGCTGGAGATGCATGAGAAATGGGGTGTAGTACAGTCCAGAGGTCAGCAGGTTAGGACCCCAGAATAGTTGATGCTTCAGCTCAGGCCAAGGAATCATAGTATGGACACTGCAGAAATTAGGTCTTGAATCATTTCAATGTGAAGACAGCTCTTCATTGTACTGCACTTTCTTCATCTTCCTCAATTTCACTCTTTCTTATTGTAATTTAGGATTTCTAAGAATATGGTTTGAATCACTGTACAGATTCTTCTTTATGCTGTAAATAGATTTGACATCTATAGCTAGCTAATCAGTTGTAAAATATTTTATATTTATAGATCTAGATCAAAATTTCACTAGTTGTATTTGAAATACATCACCTTATACATGAATAATAGTTCTCCTTTAAATCATTTTGAGGGCCCAGGAACTTCTGCTGACACAGTCAAGTGACTGTCGCATTTCCAACTGAACCAGACACACAGGGCATCCTGTGTGAGCGCCAAGCAGGCCTTGCTTTCCCTTTGCTTCACCTCTAGAATTCCTCTCAGGACAGGAGGCAGCACTGAATGCTAGGTGTAGAGCTTACATTCTGCAGGAACAAAGACTTTTCTTCTTACCTCGAGATAGAGAGATGATTCAATTTCCAGCGACACATAGGAGAAGATCTTGAATGAATCTAGTTAAATCTAGTCTTACGGTTGGAAAAATGTCAAATTCCTATTATGGTGTCTAGAGGATGATCAAGAGACAGAAATGTCAGAGATTTATTTTTATTTTTGTTTAGTTAGCGTAGTAAGTTGAAAGGAGGGTGTGTGTTTTCATAAGGTATAGATATCTACATGAAATTTTAGGTCTGAAAATTTTTACTTTTTTCCTTGATTTTAATTATATGATTCATAATTATGTAGATCATCAATCTTATTGTCTTATTTCCTTCATTGTTATGAGTATAAAGTAAAAAAAAAATCTGGTGGATAATTGTTCTGTTAGCATATCTAGGTTGAAACAGATATAAGAAAATATTGGTATATTTCAATATAACATTATTGTATAATGGAGGGAAAAATGAGGAAGAATGCTTAAATTTTAAAAACAAACTCAGATAAACTGAATAAAAAATAAAAAAGTGGGGCTGGGGATTTAGTTCAGCGACATAAGCACCTGCCTTGAAAGCAGGCAGTAGTGAGTTCGATCCCTGTTACCGATAAAAAGGAAAAAGACAAAATAAATAAATAAATAAATAAATAAATAAATAAATAAAAATAAAAAGTGAACAAGGTGTTGACAGAGCATAGGCCTCTCCTCTCCATACACAAACACTCAAAGTAAGAGATCTGCGATAAGAAGAAATAGCAGAGCTTAAATTTTTTAAGTCCAAAAATTAATTCCTACTAGATTTCATCATGTCTTTAATTATTTATAACTATTTATATAAATTTCCTATTTCCACACGTAATTTAGTGACTCAAAAAAAAAGTTTTAGTTAAAAAATCAATCATTTGTCCATTGTTTTTTGCTCCCCTATGCTACAGGTAGCTGGTAGAATATAAAGTCCCTTGAGGTGTGTACTGAGACCCAGTCCAAGCTCATCATTAGAGTCATTATGAGAACAAGAGGGGTAACAGCACATGACAAGCACAAGTGCTTATAGTTGTAATAGACACAGATAAAGTACCTTAATGCCTTGTTTTGGAGGTCACCAAGTCAATGGTAAATGCTTTTTCTTATATTTACATAAAACCCTTAGAATCAGAGAATGTCTTAACTGTTCCCTGATACACTTTCTGTTATCCTTTTAGAAGATGATATCACTTTGCTCAAGATTTTTAGTCACTCTTATTTTAACAGCATACCTCTCTTTTAGTGTCCTAATAAGAAGACCTTAGGAACACTTACTTGAGTATTTTCTTGTACATAATAGAAATAGTCCTGTCAGTACATCCAAAGCTTTAGATGAGATTTTTTGTTTTTTTCTCAGCAGTGACTACCACTTTTGTACCTGTGGTGTACCATGTGGAATTCTGCCTTTTATAGTTATTCTCTTGGCATAACTACCAAACCAAATATAAACAAAACATGTTCACTAGTTTCTCAGAAGTCAGAGATACAAACTTTTAAAGGAACTCTAGCTCAGCACACTTAGAATGATCCAAACTGACACACTTCACTGTAGGTGACAAAAACAAAATAGAACAAGAGAAAAATATGTGTGTCTAAATTACTCAGGATGCTATTGAGTGTTTCAATGTACATTTAAAAAATTTTTTAAATGTCAGCCTGAAAGAAACATTACACATGATATTGATTACAAAACTGATTTTCCAAGATTTTTATCATATTTGTACATAAATGATTATTTCTTAGGTAAAAGTTATAGGTAAGTTTTCTGAGACTGTTAAGTCTCTTCCTAGACACTACATTTCACAGACAATCTAACCTCCATGGAGTGAAATGGAAACAAATGATAACTTTTTCTATACTTTTAATAATAAATAATTTTGTCACTGAAAATAAGTTTATTCTTACTTCAGAATGAAAATTGAATTCAACTGTAAAATTCCATTGTACCTTTTGCTGTGCTATGAGACTTGGCTAGTTTCCTTTGAAAAATATTAGGAAAAGTAGCATATTATCTAATTTTTTACAAAGAATAAAAAATGTGTTTAAATATTTTCAGTTCATATCTTTTTAATAGGAAAATACTTAAAGGCTATGTTACACTTGGTGTGCAGATAGGGAAATTAACATTCAGGAAAACCAGAAAATGGGGTTTATAGTTGCAGTATATAGGACCAAACAGTACCTCTGTGCCACTAATTTCTCTTCAGTGTGAACCTCTGGACTTTAGCTTTAGTTCAAGCTACATTATAGGCGTACAAAAGGAGTTACCTAAATTAACTATATAATCTGAGTCTAACAAGCAAATCAGAGAGCCAAGGCACGCTCATTAAGACATGGCCTTTCTGCTGTCAGTTGTCTTCATTGAATTAGTATCAAGGAAACAAAAACCTATTGACAAGTGATCAGGCAAGATTGAACATAAAGGATTTGCTCTTAATGAGCTTGTATCATAAAGCTATGTCATAAAAAGCCATGTCCCAAACTGGAAAAAAAAAATTTTTTTCATCCTGTATGTCTGCTTAAGATCACATTCTAATGCCATGCCTAGGATAAATCAAGGATGAGAAGACTGAACATGTCTGCCATGGACAAATCCTCTCCAAGGAGAACTGATGTCTCCTGAAATATAATGACCTGAAGCTCACTATCTCTGAGAATCACGCGTAAAACCAATCAATCAATTATTTAAGTAAATTTTATATTTCTTGACAGTATTATGGGGAGAAACACAAAGTCAAAAATTAAAAATGAGGACATAATGCTTCTAAGAAAAGTAATAGTTTCTGTTTTATAAAGTCACCAAATCATTTTACCTATACTAATAAATTAGTAATTTAAAAAAATGTTTATTTGGTGGCATGAAAGAGCTCACTGAATGTGCAAATGTATCTTATGCACAGAAGAACAATTTGAACATTCCAAATATATTATTTAACTAAGAAATAGCACCACAAAATTATGTGTCACTAGGATTGTGACCTTTATGACTGTATGGAACACCAGATATATGTCTCTGTCAGAAAGAGTACTCCACTATGTTGAGCCATTTATCTGGTTCACTGGTGACAAGCCTTATGGTCTAGGATCCATGCAATCTAATATGTACTAAAAAGTTTAAAGCAGTGAAAATTTATTGCCTTCTTGCATAAAAACTCACAGATTATAGCACACTTAGGTTGGCTGCTCAGAAGATCATTCTAGTTAATAAAAGGTCATCTTGCCATGATCTGAGGATGAAAAATCAAAAGCCAAAGCAGTATTTTTCTCACTGCCATTCTGTGTGAAGTTGTATGAAGGCATTTACCAATACTGTCTCTCTCTGCTCAAGTAAGGTATAAGCAACTCTGTGGTCTCGAAACAAAAACAAAAAGGAAATGAACACTGTGTTAGACAAATGCATATCTTAATATGAGGCATGTAGTGACAACAGTACATTTTTAGTTTATATCTTGCACAGAGACAAATGGTGCTATGACTGAATTTTTATACAGTTGACAGAAAAATCACGAACTGAGGGAAACGGGGAATTAGTTTAGCATACATCACTATACTATGTTTGAAAAGAGTATGAGCAAACTTAGAAATACAGTCAATTATTCACTCAGTAGCTTAATAAATCAAGATTAGGAACATGTATTGATTTAATTTTCTGAGCTGAAATCTAAATATTGAGTTGATGTAAAACTAAACTAAAATAAAAGTTTATTAGTATCTTTTCTTCCTTATTTCGTTAACACCTGACAATTAATTCTAGCAATCACTCTGTCATTTTTACCACAGAAAAATAATTAATTCTAGAATGCAAATTTCACTTCATACTGTAGACTCACGAGATATATGAGACTAATGGTTTATGCAGGTAGTTCATAGCTTGTGTTAGTTTACATCTGATCTCTATTAATTTAAAGTATTATTTATTAGTAGGTCAATCTCTTATTAAAGAGATTATATTGTAACATTTCTATCGAAAGTGTTAAATGTAGTAGAATTACAGGTTTTGCACAGTTTGAGGCACAACCCTTTAAGGTTTGCTGTTCAACACTTGTTAATTCATCCATGTTCTTGCGTATGAGAAGAGGATAAACTTCTGAGCTAATGGACATGACAATTGTTTTCCTTAAGATTTATACAGTCTCAGAGATAGAATCTCTCACTATAGTAAGGCAATTTCTGTTAATTTCAGTAAGTCAGACAGCAAATAATTGTTAAGTACATGCCCATTTTATTTCAGGTGTCCCCAGTTGTGAATGCAATGCTGTCCTTCGTGCATTCAAAGATCCCACGCAGTGGAAGCCTGATAAAGTTTTACAAAATGTACAAAAAAATACTAATCTAATTGTTTAGGTGAACTATTTTGTTTTTCATGTAAGTTCCATATACTTGCTTCATCAAATGCCTGGTAAATCAGCTGGTCAGCAGTATACCTGCCTCAACACATGACACTGACATCCATTCATACATGATAGTCAATCTGTGGAAAGCGCCATCCCTTCTGAACTTGTAAACTGCTGTTTTATCCAGATTAATATACTTCATATTCTTTAGCTCAAAATATACTGTCCCTATTAGCATGTATTCTGAACAAACCTGGCAGTTGGCATTGACAATGTAGTTTCTTTGTGACATAACTATCAATTGCATATGGAAAGTTTAGGTTAAGGCTAAAATCAATTAATGATACCTTTAAACCTGGGAGTCTTTGGAAATAAAACCTTAGTAGCTAAAAATAAACTTCATTATTCTGTCTATTGTTCCAGAATATACTATTTATATCTTCCGAGACTGATATCTATTATTTTTAATCCTTGAAAATAAATCCAGATCAAAAGTAAGTATATGATATCTGGCAACACCATAGATAAATGTCTCTACCTAACATACTACAGTGCATGGAAGAACTTTAGACAATATAGAAGTATAGTTTTATTGTTTCCTGTTTGGGATTAAATACACACAAATTGCCTACTCTCATGTGATGTTAGAGAAATGACCTCATAGAGAAATTGCTGCTTTAGTGATTCATGACTGCATAGGTTTCTAACCCACAAACTCACATGCCTTGTGATGGGCTCTGCCATCTCTGAAGCAGTTCCTGAAACAAGGGACAAGATTCACATCCGTTTCCATGTTTTCCACCCACAGTGGAAAAACAAAAACACAGCAATGTTATGCAAAGGACTGCGGAAAAGCCACATTTCTCATATAACTTATTTTTTTTTACATTTATAGAAACAGGCATTTGTAGAAAAATTCTTATATTTTTAGCTGAATATGCTGTGAATCTACTTCATCTTGGGCCAGATGAGAAACTTTTTTCAGAATTTTTATTATACATAGTTTACATCTGTGAAATTGGGGCATACACATAGCATATCTAAATTCATTTTTTAAACCTATTTCTCTTTCATTCTTTTTATCTGTTAGAATCCTGGCCATTTTGGAAAGATCTATCTCCCTATTTCCTTTCATGTAAAAAATAATAACCTTTTATTTTACTCTTTATTGAAAATTTCAACTTTTCATACAAGAGAAGTCACGTGATATTTCGAACTTATTCTTGCAGTATAAATTTTGTGACATTTTCATCAGACAATAACATTTATACAAAAATTAAATTTAAAATTATTTGAATAAAAATGAATAGATTGGCTTTTGTTTCCCTTGAACAAACTAGATTGAAATATGTTCAGGCTGTTTGCAATATAAACCAAAACACAGATTACTTCTTTCAACCATTGCCACAGGAACAGAAAATACACTTTAAATTTGTGGATATGTCTCAATTAAATAAATTCATGCCATTGTGTTAGAGAACATGAATATATGAAAAAAATTGTATATAATTCCAATATATAAAGACTTAAGTTTGAGTATTATAGTTACTTCACTAACTGATCCTGAGTTTTTCCACTTGCAGTCCAGCAAAACAAATATAACCATCAAAATTTGTGCTATCCTTTGTATTTTCAGTTTAATTAATTCTCAGTTTGCTTATCTATAAAGTGGAGATAGTGAAATTCTTTAACATACCTAAAGTATCATGATATTCAGTTAAAATGAATGAAAGTTCTTTAAAAGCAAAACTACAAATCTAACATAAAGTAGGACTGCAATATGAATTATTTGGATGACAACTAATTAAAAGAACGATTTGTCATTACTTTTCTCTTATTGCTAAGACAAAATAGCTGACATCCGTAGTTAAAGGAGAAAAGGTTTATTTAGCTTACAGTTTGTGGAGGTTTCAGGCCAACACAGGGCAGTACATTGTAGAGGGGGCAATATTTCATGTTAGCAGAAGACAGCAAAAGCAATGATGGAGAGAGAAGAGACAAGCCTCTTCTGGTCCCTTGTGTTGTATGTTCCTCCTGGGATTAGTGTGGTACCAGTCCAATCAATGAATGATCCATAAGTCACCCACCCTTCATTTCAGCACCCTTAATCCTAGCACTGAGCCACAAATCCAGGAAACACACTGGATTCAGCCACTGAGAAAGCCCCAGCTAATTAGGACTGCATGAGGCTGTGAGGGACATCTAGACACAAACTCTGATATTGTTTAAGGTTCTGCGTAGAAATATTATTGTTGGACAAACTTAAATTTTCCCAGTTCTGGAAATGGCTGCCAGTGTATTGTTGCTTTTGTATTTTTTGTAAGTTGAAATAAAACTGTATTTTGTCATCTAACAGTATTTTCTTTTATACTCTTTGTCTTATATTTCATTAATTTTAATTTAGAATTATTAAAACTATAGTTTTATTTAACTTTTGTTAATATACGTTTGCAGCGCATACAGTTTACAGTCATCTTGGGTAGTAGGCACAGGTACAGAAGACATCTTGTTTCTTGTTTTAGTGCCCTTTCCTTCTCTCTCTGTCTCTCCTTTTTCACTAATTCCCATCACTCACTCATTATTTCTTCTGATACCATCAATCTTAGCTCCTATGTACACCACGTGATGTCCATATTCACTGAAGCAATTGGAATGCTGTCCCTGATGTGTCTTTACTGTCTTCCATCCCTCCCCCTATCCCTTCACCCTTAGTCCTTCCTATTTTCAAGAGATCCATTTGCTTGTCACCTTCAATCTTTCCTTTATTTTTCTCTTAATTTGTACTCTGCTTTACTCAAGTGAGAATTTCCATGTGGTATTCAAGTTTGTGTTTCTGATTTGTTTCACACAATATTGTGTTCTCCAGCCGTATGCATTTTCCTATAAGTGTCTCAAATTTGCCCTTCTTTTATAGTTGAGTATTGTTTCATGATAGATAGATAGATAGATAGATAGACAGACAGACAAATAGGTACTGCATTTTCTTTATCCAGTCATCTATTTTGAGGTACACAGGGTGCTTCCAGGTTTTGGTGGTTATGAACTGTGCTGCTGTAAACAGGAAATACATGCATTAATGTGGCATGATGTCGGACACTCTTTGTGGAAGACACGTACTTACAAAAGGGACAGTTGGGTCATATGGGATTTCTAATTTTGCGTTTTTGAGAAATAGTCATACTGACTTCCATATGAACTAGAAAACTATAAATTCAGGTGGATGTTATATATCTTTGGATGGCAAAGTATTTTAAATTTAGGCAAGTTATCATTTTAATGTATATATTTTATATGCACAATAGGATGCTTTGACATTCATAGTAAACTGATTTCTACTGCCAAATAAATTTATCCATTATTTTTCTTATGGCTTTGTTGTAGTTGTTCTTGTCCTAAGAACACCTACAGTCTGGTTGCCACAGATTTCCTCTATGCCTTGAAATATTGTGATTGTATTTGGATGACATAATTAAAGTTTGTAGACCTATTGATCTTATATATTTGCAGTTTGTCCTCTTTGATCTACATCTCAATCTCTTTCTTCCTTAAGATCTAGTTTAGAAATTGTATGTATTTCTGTCTGTGCACATGCACATGTATATAGTGAAATATTTAGCTTTTTGCAAAAGAAATCCTGTCACTTGTGACAACTTGATGTGTCTGAAGTACAATATAAAAACTGGAATGTCAGACAGGGAAATACTAATACCACACGATCTCAACTGAAATGTGGAATCTTAAACAAATCTGCTAAAAAATCATATTTGAATAAACTGAACGCAGCCAGCACTGTTCATTGGACTTGAACTTTTTAAAATTCTAGTTAATCCTGGAGAAATACTGCCTCGCATATGTAAAGCTGGAGAATTTCGCTGCAAAAATAGACACTGCATCCAAGCGCGGTGGAAATGTGACGGAGACGATGACTGCCTCGATGGAAGTGATGAGGACCCAATCAACTGCTGTATGTTCACCTCAAGTCATCTTTAAACTGCATTTTCCTGAGTCTTATCTGTTTGATAATTACCAAAGCAGTATGTGAATATCTCTGAGGCAAATTGAATTCAGTTTGATTTCTTATCATTTTCCAAAAGCTTATACCAAAAATAACGTAATTCGCATTTCTTTTAGCAAAGTTTTTCTTCTTTTTCTCCACCCTTTATGTATCATTTTAGTGTTTCCAAAACTTACCTCTCCTCTTATTCTAAGTTAGTACAAACACACCACTCTTTAGGGCAGCAACAGGGGACCTCTTTTAATCTTTAAATTTAAAGGCATGGAGTATCTATTTAAATCACTAGAGACTGAGCAAATTTACAGAAGTTCAGAAATCACTCCATTGCTCTTTGGCAACAGAATCTTCAAGATCCAAAGAAAGAGGAATGGGTTTGGAATATGTTATTAACCAGATTGATCGGCTCAGAACATGAGACCAAACACATATGACATCAAATAGAAATTAAGAGTTTAATATCCCCTTCCTCCTTTTGTCTTTTACTTACTTTTTCTGTTTGGAAAGTTCATAAAATAATATTTCATATATTTGTTTGGAGTCACTAACTGTATTCTTTTGAGAGAAAATGTTTTATGTGGATATAGGCCTGTTTTAGACAAATTTCAATTAACTTAAGCACAGATTTAAACACAATCATTTAATTAATGACGTTTTCAGGTTAAAATTAACATTTGAAAATTAATTGACCATTTTTTGAAATTAATAATTAAAAGTAAAGCTTAAAAAACACATTTTTGAAAATGAATATATTTGTGTTGGACATGGTAGCACACACCTAGCATTCTAGAGGGTGAGAAAGGATTACAATTTTGAGAAACTTTGCAACTTAATAAAAATATGATCTCAAAATAAAATGAAAAGAAAGGTCTGGGGCTGTAGCTTAATGAATAAGACCTCAGTTCTATTGTCAGTCTTCAAGGTAGAAAAGGAAAGGAAGGAGAGGAGAGGAGAGAGGAGAGGAGAGAAGAGGAGAAGATAGCAGAGGAGAGGAGAGGGGAGGGGAGGAGAGGGGAGTTGAGGGGAGGAGAGGGGAGGAGAGGAAAAGAAAAGGGGTGGGCTAGGGCTATTGTAGACAGGTGAGACAAGAGAGAAGAAAAAAAGAAAAAGACAGCTCAGAACGTGTCTGTGTTATGCAAACGTTTGTGCTATAGGATAAAAGTCTAAACACGGATTTTACAAAATATTTTTCAAACATATACATGAAAAAAGATACTTTTTAATTTCAAGAATGGACTTTAATTCAGAATTATGCACTTATTTTCACCTCCATTATTTTCTGTCCTTTAAAATATGAACCAACAATAAGTTTAAATGTTAAATTGATGTGACTGTCAAAATTTTAAGTTAAGAAAAGCATTTAATCTGGGAATAAGGATAGTTTTCTGCCTTTTTACCCAAAAGCTGTACTGGTGATTAGCTTAATTTCCTCATTCCTTCTGGCTCACAGTCCTTTTCTCAAGATTTTAATTAATGCTAACTGTATATCGACTTCTTCTAGTCACAGAAATCTAATGTCTCAGCACAGCACAGATGTTTTATTATATTATCATGTGTTACTTCATCCTACCCATGCCTCCTTGTGTGATTGTCCTTCCTTTCCCAGAGATCCTAAAAAGAAAGTCCTAGCTGGCATAATGGTGGTAGGTATTTCATGCTACTGTTAATTACAGTGGTAAAATTCCTAGTCAGTATCCTTTTTTTTTTTTTTTTTATCACTGCCATTCTTTTCCATTCTGTCACCAAAGCCATGGACATTTCCTGGTGTCCTCCACTCCAATTATAGAACCTAATCCATCCTCTACCTCCTAACTAATTAAGTTTTAATCTCCCCTCTTCTAGATTTACATTGATTAAGTTAGTTTCCCATCTCAGGTGAAGTCAATGAGTATTCTTCTATTAGTCCCAACACTATTCCTCCCTTAAAGTCCATTTTCCTTTGTGTTTCTAGAATGTTATTTATAATTTGCTATATATTCTTATTACTGCAATAATTGAATAATTAAGAAGCTAAATTATAAAATCTGTCAACTCACATATAGGTACTTTTTAATGTCTCATAATTACATTTTTAGCCTTTAGTGTATGAAGCATCTTATCCTTTTGCACTGATAAATTTAAATTATAAGTAGGTCTCAAAAATATTCTTCTATTTTGCTTCACTATGAGAGTATACAGGATTTTTTTAGTCTATGAAATTAAAAACAGTTTATCACTACCTTCTTCAGAAAGATGATCTGATTGTTCCAAAATTAAATCAGTGTAGCCCAGTTGGAGTTAAACATTCATCTATTGCATGCATTTGTATTACAGCAGTTGCCAAACCATATGGTCAGTACGTGCTTCTTGTGTGGCGCACCTAATAGACATTTTCCTAAGGAGGCACATTATGTTGTGACATTCTATAGTCTCAACATCGAACGTGGCTTTTAGCACATGCAAGGACTGATGATTAAATCATAGAGGAAATGAACATTAAAAATCTCTAGGTATCTTTCAGTTCAGTGTCTTGTCTGAACATTTCATTCATCCTGAGTGACATTATAGTTCTAGGGATTCATGGTTAATATTCCAGTACTACATAAGTAATTTCAGAGGACTATTTTAGATTTTAAACATTCAAAATCTACTATCTGGAGTTCTATTAACATGATACTTTCTATCCTTCAATGTCTCATTAAAACAGGATACTATGTCTGAATTCCCATTTACCTTATTGATAAAATTTGCTAAAGTCCTTGATTTGGCTTTACTGAAGTGCTTCCAAATAATCTTAAAACTTGCAAATGTTAACCCTCTGGTATATTGTATAATGTCTATGTCTCATGGACAATATTTTTGCTAAAGTCCCCGAAGTGGATAAAAATAATCATACTCCCATAAAATAAAATATAAGCCTTTACCTTTTCATGAATGAAAACTTTCTAAAAAAGTGTTAAAACTGCTTTTAATACTACTTGTAAGGAAAAGTGTTTTTAATAAACAGTGGCCAAAAACATACACATTTTTTATGCTAAAGCATGATAAAAATGAGTTTTTCAAATTCTAAACAAAACTAATACTAAAACTCATTTTTATGATGCAGAATTGAAACGGCTGGGCATAAGAAACATGGCTTTAAATGAATGTTGAAATTGTGAATCTAATGCTGAAGACCGTGTATCTAGAATGCCAGAAGAAAAACTTAAAAATGATTGACATTAAGGAGCTTCCTTGTTGTTCTCAAATATTGGAAGTTCAACCTTTAGTTGTGAACAGCTTCCCATGTGGGGACTGCTTTTATATTCAGTATTTTTTGTAGTTGCGTGTTTATTTGCTTGTACTAGGAAAGAAAAGACATGGTGATCTTTTACGTTTTTAAATTATATAGAATTTTGTTTTTGTCATCAACTCTAAATCACAAGTAATATAAGTTTCATTTCTATATTTTTCTTTCCAGTCCCAAGAACATTGGCTGAAGTACTAGAATCAAATGAGGCTTAGTTAATTTTTTTTAAAAATATTTGAATGAATGAGTTGTTTTAAAAATATTAATATATATAATAAAATTATTTTGACATTTATTTTGTTGAATTAAACATTACAATGATGTTAATTTTAAAGGCTTCTGATGAATATTTTGGTATCTACTTCATATAACAGAAGGAAAACAAATTTAGGTATCTTGTTCATTTGAGTGAAAATATTAAAGGTGATTAGATTTCTTTGTATTTCAGATTTAATTATTTGATGCTTTCTCTGAAAGTTATATTTGATAAAGCTAGAAGGTTAATATTTGCTATAAAATTTGGGACAGCAGATAACTAAGTCCATGCCATTTATTGAACTGCAGTATAATTTCAGTAACACTTTTGTAAAGTTAATTCACAATATTTATGAGATAATCCAATTTTAAATAATTAAGCTTGCTTCACCCTCCCTCCCAGTCAATCACAGCTGTCCTGATGATCAGTTTAAATGCCAGAATAATCGCTGTATCCCCAAGAAATGGCTTTGCGATGGAGCTAATGACTGTGGGAGCAATGAAGATGAATCTAATGAAACTTGTTCAGGTAAAGATTAACTCGGACATGTACCTAATTCACCCCCAAAATTGACTTTCATAAAAATGTAGGTGAATGTTTTGAACTTGCCTGTTCTTAGTGCTGATAATTTGATTTTTGTAACAGGCAACGAATTCAAAGTTTGATGCTGTAAAAACTCAAGCACAATTTTTTTTATATAACCGTGGGGCATGACTTCTTTCCAAAGCAATCCCGTACTTTACCTATTTGTATAAGCTGACTGTCAACATTCTTCTTGTACAAGACAGACCCCTACTAAATCTTGCTTGGCAGCGGAAGACGAGATCTGTGGGGAGGTTATGATACAGGCCATCACACAAGGAACATGTTTTTTCTAAACCTTAAAAAAAGACATAAATTTTATTTTGCCTCTTGTGGGATACCTTTGTGAATATTTTTCTGTTCATTGCACATTATTTATGTGCTGTAGTTTTTTTGCTGCCATGAAGTCCCAAGACCACTAAGCCTATTTATATTTCCATATAATCTATACCATTGTAATAAATCTTTGAATCCCTAGCCAGGTGCTTGTTGAGTGGAAATACACAGCTTGTAGTACAGGTCATAACAGTGCCAGAAAGGTCATTATTAGACAGATAAACATTGAAAAATGATTTTGACTAGCAGCAGCATAGTACTTCTCTTTAGATGAAGAAAAACTACTGTTTTGATGGCACATACTGATATGATTAGCAAAAAAAATGATTTCTGTAAAAAACATTACATATAGTAACATTAAGTGCACAAGCTCTCAGTTCTTTGTTTTGACAAAATAAGCTTTACCAAGTATCAACTACTGTAAAGTACTAGGGAAAACAGATCAGCAGTGTGCACAAAAAAGAATCAGATGTCATGAAGATTAGTTCCTACTCCTGGTTTTGCCACTGGTTTTCTCTTGTAGACCTATAATTCTCCACAACTCATTTTCCTCCTACATTTCTTGCAGCTCAATAACAGTATGAATTAGCTAGAAGTTGTTTCCAAAGAGTTTTTCACTACATACAAAACAATGTCAAGGTTAAACGTCACCAATCCATAATCTTTACCTAAATCTTATATTCTTTGTAGTGACATACTTTCTCAAGACCTACAAATCAATTATTCTCTTAGCTACTAAATTAAAGTCTACTGTGCAATTTGGAGTAAGTTCATTTCTTAAAAGATTATTATGTGTGTCTTATAAGATTGTTTTGAAAATATTTTGTTAGAAAACATAAGGCTCTAGAAAATGTTTGGTCCCACGTCCCTTCTTTCAAAATCATTCGTTGTATAGATGAAATAGCTGCAAGAAGACTTGCTTAAATTCACATCATTGGTAAGAATTTAGGGAAATCTGTTTGAAAATATTTTGTCTCCATGACCATTATGTTTTAAAAGCAAAACTATATTATCTCACAGATTAGTTAGAATGTATAGCTGTATGTACAGTCCACTTGTCAATTTAACTTTGCTTAGGTTGCTATTACAACCTGAGCAATTTATAATGAAGTATCTTTGTGTCAATGCAATTACTGGTTTTCTTTACGATTAAGGTTCAACTTGAGCACTATGCTTCATTACATGCTAAACAGACAGATCTGCTTACACAATAAAAAAGAAGAAACTGCTGACTCAATTTGTTCACATCATATCTTCTTTATTGCATCTAGATTTTTACAAATTTAAAAATTTATTTTTAAAATAATATTTATGTTTAGCTAGCCTGTTTATAATATCAAATTACAAATGCTTACGTTTAAAAGCAAATTAAACAATCAATCCTAATAGTACGATGTATAAGACACTCAAGTCCTGTGGTCCACTTCAAGTGATGCCACTCAATAAATGGTATCAAGTACTCGATCTCATCAGTATATTTATAAGAAATATTATGTCCCCTGGATATCTTAAGAACTTGAGTAAAATGTACAAAGAGAAAATCAAACATGATTTATTTTGAAGCTATGCACAGAGTTTTCGTCTGACAGTGTTCTTTCATTTTATCAAAATCTTTAAATGGTATCTTACTACACTAGAAAAAGTGGCATATTTATGCAGACTATTTCCCTGAGTCATTTCCATCTATTCTTAAATATAAGGATATATATGAATGTTGTCCTAGGTTAAAAGCTTAGCTAGGTATGGTAGAGATTTTTATTGGAATTGAACCCACTATCCTCTAATGATTAGCATCATGACCATTTTACATTAAAAAAAAAATCCTTTCCCACAAGGAGACAATTTCCTGTATTGATCCTTTGGAGTATTTCTTTCCTCAGTCTACTAATTCAGTAAATATTTACTAAGTCACTTGTGACAAAATGAGAAAAATATAAAATACTTTTCATTAAGAAGCTATAAATGAAGACTGGGGGAAAGTATCTTACTAGACCATCCTGACAGAATTTGAAGCTCCAAGCTGTTCTGAGTGCAGGCACACAGCAAAAATAAAGAATTTCGATCTTTGGTTTGCTGGAGACATTTCCTAAAGGAGGCAGTATTCAAGCTAAGTCTTTAAAAATATAAGGAAAGTATTCTACAGAATAACAAAAACAATTTGAATGGAAAAGAATCTGAGAAAACTAAGTATCATCAAAGGAACTATCATATAATCTTTTTTGTGAGTATACAAAATCTTTTTCAGATTGGAAAATAATTCGGTAAAATTCAACATATGTAAAGAAGTATACAATTGAGCCTATAATTCCACTTCTATTTTTGCACTAATTAGTGCCTCTGAACAAGTATGTTCATTGTTCTACTTCTAGTAATACTAGGAACTTAAAATAACTCAAATTATCTGTTAACAGGAGAGTAGATACTCATAGTAAATTGTTATTCACAGGTAAAACAAGTGAAGTAATATTTGAGTTATCAACAGGAATGAGTTTAAAAATGCGTTAAACATCAAGTTCTGAATGATATCAACAACAATTTTACAAAGAATAAAACTATAAAGCAGTCCTTTATAATTTCTATGAATTCATAAATGTGTACAAAGGGTATTAGATTATCTCTGGAAGTGAAAAATTTAAAACTAAATACAGCAGGATGTAAATACAAATAGGGAAAATTATATAAGGATGTCAAATGTAACTAATATATTTTTAAATTTTTAACTAAAATATGTAGCACATATGAAGAAAATACTAAGATGCGATTTTTCTTGATGACATTCAACAGATTTAGCAATATCATCCCCTGTACCTCCTAGGAAATAAAAAATGTAAATGGAAAAAAATGACATAGTAACAGTAATACATATTAGCAGGTAGAATGAATCTAATGTGACAGAAGAGAATATACCACTAAGGATCCTGGACATGCACAGGGGCCGAGGGAGAGCTGACAGAGTCACAGGCTGAGTCTCTGTCCTCCCCGATTCCTTAAGTGCTTTTTGTCTACTTATGAACGAGTCCTTGAGGCAAGCTGAAATGTACTGGGTTTAAAATTCTTTTTCTCTCGTAGTACTCCTGGTAATTCTTAGATTTAAACCTCGGTGGTTTCAGACCAGCTTTTCCTCTCAAGGCAGTGCTCTAGTTGAACTACGTATTATTTCTTTGCACATCCTCCACTATGTTTGCCTAAATTTATACTAGACAAGTATAATTGCATCAAAACAGCTGAGTGTATAAAATATCAGATGCTTTTCTAAGGTCAGCTAAATAGCATATTTTCAACTAGGTAAAGTGATGTGTCAATATAATTCTAGCACTGGGGAGACTGAGGCAAGAGTGCCACTACAAATTGGAGGCCAGCTTGGGTTACCTAGTAATTGGTAGACTACCTGAAATGTGGAGCAAGATTATCAATATATATATATATATATATATATATATATATATGGCACTTTAATATGCCTTGAATTGTTTTCTTTAATTAGAATACTTTGATTGACATGTAGCAAAGTCAAAGTTTAGGAATAGAGTGTTTTGTGCAGTGTTCTCTTCCTCTGTATAGTACTAGTGCATTGAGGAAAATTCCCACTGCTATGTGGCACCAGAGACAGCATGATTAATGATGGGTAGAAATATTTGCATTGTAACAGTGAATTTCTGGTTTAACTGCTTGATAAACAATTCCCCCAGAGGAAGTTTACATTTCCTATTCCTTAGAGCAGCATTTGCTATGAAATCAGTTTTCTGGAGCTGCTTTTCTAATCTCACCTCCAGACTAAATTAGATCTGCTGGAGACAGAATTGAAAAAGCAGCAGCTGTGATTCTTTCGCTAGGAATCCACTGATTGGAGTGTGATAATTCAGTCAATTTGGATACATAGGCAGTTCTTGGAGATTTATGAATCAAAACATTTTTTATTAAAGTTCAGTTATATTTCCCTGCTACACAATACAAACAATTACGTCCATGATTAAAATAGGGTTTTAAATTCATACATTTTCTGGCATAAGATTCCTCATTAACAACCTGGTGAATTTATTTTGGGTTATGAAATAACGCATGAAATAAGTTCTTAGAAATTATTTTGCATTCTGCTTTCTCATCACTATTAGCTCTACTAATGAAAGAAGGTAGTTTCTGAAAATTTTTATTTATTTTTTTATTTTAAAGAGGGTAAAACTAAGCATAACAAAGCAGAACTAAGCAGATTAGAAGAAAACAATGTAAGTGACACAGATTTCAAAGCAAGACAACAGGAAATCTACAGTGGTGACATAATGCCTCTTGTTTTCTTCTAAATAGTTGTCCATATCTTCACACACAATTAATGCATACAAAACAAAATAGTATTAAACTGATCAGAACAAAGTGATGAAGGCATAGGCCTTTGAAGCCAGACAATAGGAAAATCAACAATGGCTTTTATATTGTCTCTTCTTCTCTTTAAATTAGTTGTCTATACCTTCTGTAGGTTAAAATTAAACAATACAACTGAAGTCTTTATTACATTGAAATCTAAATTATTACTAGATATTTGGTAACAGAATTGGACTAAGCAAAATTAGAAGTTATTGTAAGTCAATTAGAATTTCATGGAGATGAAAATATGTAATAATGTATTTAAAACAAGATAGAATGAAAGAATGGTATAAAATGAAGGAAATAGTGAATAATAAAAGATCAAAAGATATGGGGAAAAAAAGGAGGAAAGACTTTACAGAGAAAAAAAGAAGAGAGTATTTAAACAAAATTCTTCATGAAAGTTGACCTCAAATTTAAAAGATAAAAAAGTTCTTACTGTAATAAGTAACACAGATCTATAGTGCAAAAATTGTTATCCTCTTTCACATCTCTTTTTCTACTTCTTTCTATCAAATAAACTAATGCCCACAACTTGTATGTGTATCTCTTAGTTTTTTAGCAAGTTTACACAATTACAAATACTATTGTTTAAGTCGACATAATTATATAAAAATTACTGAAGAACATTCCTACTTTTATTCTAAGTTTTAGAATAATTTAACAGAAAAATCTGTAGTACTAACCAGATGAGACATCTTAGAAAGACTTGATCTTACTGAAATTTTGACATTGAAAACTCAGAAGCACATGCTTTTCAGAGTTTTAAATCCCTTAAGTTAAAGTAAATTATCAGTTTGTCAAATGACAAACTCAGATATTGCTTAAAATATTTTAGAATCAAGGCCTTGATCTACAAAAAGCAGTATATATGGTATGATAATCTTCTTAATATTTTAAATTACTGTAATTTGAAATGTAGCAAATCTCTATGATTATCCACTCAGAAAACAAGATTTAGTCTATAATCTAAGATAGATTGTTCTTTGTAAGCATAGAAATGCAGACTTTCGTCATTAGTTGGTTTTCTCCAAACCAGCTAGTTAAAATATACTTAAATCTGACTATCTCCTTTGCAGATCCCATTTTTTTCCTAATATAAAGAAAAAGAAGAGTGGAAGAGATACTCATACACATGGGAAGACAGATTAAAACTTTACAAGGACAAAATAAGGCAAAAAGAAAATCAGACATTAAAAATAATTGTTTAGCAACGAGAGCCAGGGGACGAGAAAAGCTGTGTAGACGTTTAGGCTTTCAAAAAAAAGTTGATCTGATTATAGTATAAAAGAACAAATTCCCATAGAACATATCCCCTTTCTGAATTATTTAAACCATGACCTTTGGCTAACATAGAAATTAAGTTTCCATGTTGGTGTTCATTGAAACCTTTAAGAGAACACAAAGCAAAGTTCATTGGAATACCTTGATGAAACAGTCATATTTTTACAGAACTTAAAAAATGAATTATAATAATGCCTTGAGGCTAAATGTATGTTTAAGAAAACATTTTCTAATGGATCATTTACAGTTCAAAAAGTAAATGTACTGAAAACATAAGAAAAATACAATTCTGACATGATGATTAGAAACTACGCACCCTGTTATAGTGTCCAAAGACTTCCTCTTACGTAAAGCAAGAGTTGTCTTGACCAATTGGAAATATAAAATTATTTTTTATGAATCAAAATTTGGATAACTTTCAACTTATTTGTATTTTCATAAGTATGTGACAGGCAAAAATTGTAAAATCAATTCACAGGCTCAATTCTAGAAATGTGTGGGAAATACTGAATCCTTTGTTATTTGTGGTCATTTTAATAGAAGGCAAAGCTATATGATCTTTAAAGAATACAAGTAACTTGCTATTTGAAATATTAATTAAAAATTTACATTTAAATTGTTTTATCTTCATAGAGAAAAGTGGTATCATACATAAAAGCGATATTGCGTGCTTGGACATAACCTTAATACTGCTCAAAAAGCTTCTAAATTTATTCCTTATATTTTAATTGATCATCATAGCCAGAACCTGCCAGTCAGACCAGTTTGCTTGTGGAAATGGCCGTTGCATTCCTAGAGCATGGCTGTGTGACAGGGAAGACGACTGTGGTGACCAGACGGACGAAATGGCAACTTGTGGTAAGTTGTAAATGAAATATTCTATTAGCAGAGATTGAGTTAGATGTAACATCCTATCACTGCAATCCCCTGAAGAGCATATTACAGACAAACCAACAAGCCAGGGGTCTGTTGATTTCATTGCAGCCCTTTGAATTTGAGTATGTGCTTTTGTGAAAGCTTTTCAAAATATCTCATTCCAGAAGCTATAATAGTATTGTCAGCTAAAATAAATGGATCCAAGCATCCCAGATTTTACTAGGAGTGGTTATTATATCACTAAATAGATATTTTCAAGTGTTCACAATTAGTCTTACGTCTATAATGATTAACCTTGCCAAATTGTGCAATGAGTAATATTTGTAATAAATGAGGAGAAAATATTTCTTATTGGTGTATATATGTTATATTCTGAAAGTAATAAATAGTCAAGACTGGGATTACATGGTAAATTAATTGGTACCTCTTGTCACATGATGCTGAATAACAAAAATCATCATCAGTTTAAGATAATATGTTTGCTGATGGCAAAATTCCAACTGTGTTTCTCCTACTTCTGAGAGCAGTAAAAATGCATTTATGCATAAAGTTGCAAATTTAATTATTTTTCTTTTCACTTACATGAAAGCAGGCAGTTATTATTATTATTATTTGTACCCAGGGTTGAACTCACTAACTTGCACTTGCCTGTCAGGCACTTATGCTGCTAATCTAAACTCACAGTCTGATATTATTTGTGTCAATAATATATATATATATATATATATATATATATATATATATGCAAAAATATAAGGGAAATATCATGATTTTCTGAAACATAATTTATTTTAATAAGAGGAATGGGTTTTTAAAAATTATTGTCATTAGTTCTGAGATGTGGCACACTGAGAGTGTAACACCTTAGCATATGCAAAGTTCTGTGCTTGAAACCCAGCATCACAAAAATAATAAGAATAATAATGATAATAAAATAATTATATTTTAATTATGTAACCCAATTTTAAAGTCCTGTTAACACTAGAAAAATGATTTTCAGTTTCTTAATTAAATGACTGCATTTATAATTTGCATTGTTTAGTTACCTAAAATGTTCTTATTAAAATTTTCTTAAACTAAACTACTGAACTATTTTTCATATTGTCATTTTAAATGAAAATTTTTTATCAGGATAAATGCTGACAGAATAACTAGTGGGCACAATCTCACTTTTAAAGTTTCAGACATTTTCGTAACCTAATTACCTCCCTACTGAGTACAAAGTGACAAAAGTTACAATTTTTAAAGAGGTTACCTTATTTGACAAAATTTATAACATGATTATAGGTTCAATTAATTACCATTTTTATTAAACATCATTATATTGGCCTGGTTACATTTCACTTTTGCCCTTGTAAAAAGCCAAATTTACAAAATTGTAAGTCTAGTAGAAGAATCCTACTACAGCCATTTTAAGAAACTATTTCAAGTCCATGGACAGTCATTTACAGTAGATAATATTTTACCTAAAATAATTTTAATATTTAGATTTAAAATATGAAAAAAATCTATAATTAAAAGTGTTCCTGATAGTTATTAGGATCTGCAGTTGCTACAGCTGAGAGTCAAATTTTCAGTGAAATTCACCAACATATAATTACAGAACTTACTCATTTTGCTTGCATGTAGCTTTACACATTAACTGGAAATTTTGGACTGACAGTATATGTGGGCAAACACACAATTAGGACGGCTCTCGGAGAATTGGCCTTAATCTTTAATTGATCCTTTTTTTCAAAAATTGTCACATTTATAAAGGAGACTTTGTGTATCAATGCTGCAAACAAGAGGGACATATCAAATTATGACGCCTGTGTTAGAACTAGATTCTCTCAAGGATAAAAACAGCCATCAATTCTTAACAGTAGCTGTCAATAAATAAAATATCAAGTGAGATTTAAAATAACTTAGCCACACCTTGCCCCAGACTGATTAAATAAAATTGTCTAAGAATAGCACCAAAAAATCAATATTTTAATTCTTTCCAGTGATACAACAGGTACTAAAACTTGGGAAATTGTTTATTAAGATAGCAATTCTTAAACTGGAGCCCAAATGGGAATCTTCTAGAAGGCTATAGAAAAACAGATCACTCCACCAGAGTATCTGATCCACTGAAGGTTTAGGTGTGGCTCAGTAATTTACATTTCTACACTTTCCAGCTGATGCTGATTTTTGTGCTGATCAAGAACTACAATAATGGAATTAAACAGAATGCATTATCCTATAAATGATATTTCTATAGATTGTAATGGGCTCACTACCTTCATTAACTTAGTTTCCAAGCTTCTCCTAATATAATGTGGAGAGAAGCCTACTGTGTAACTTACATGTTGAAATTCCAACTAAAATATTAATCTTGTTTTATAGTTGAGATTCTTTCTGTGGGTGCTTCCAAAATGTATTTCCCCCCAAGTCTTTAAATCTTATATTTTCAAGGTCTTTAAAATCTTATTTTGAAAGTCTTCTGATTTTCTTTTATCCACACACTTCAGAAGGTAGAGCAAGGGAGGTTCTCTTTACTTCATATTGTCATGTTTAGATCTGTATCATCCTCATACTTTTAATATCCTTGCAAATTTACAGTTTTAAATCCACTATTCACTGTAGTGTAGTCTCCTTTTTGCGTAAGTCCAATATTTCTGCAGTGTGATTTTTAAGGCTGTAAAGAAATCATAGTAACAAAAGTTCAAGCCTTTTTGTGGGCAATTAAAACATTATTTCTTGGGAAACTAACTTGAGAGTTATATTTCTGTGGACTCAGTTTGAAACAACCATTCATTATGTCAGTTTGCCATCATTTTGCATGTATGATATTTTTGCTTGTTATGAGAAGATTTTTCAAATATGTTGTGAAATATAGATGTAGTATCTCATTTTTATGATTTTGTCCTATTGAAAAACTGTATCTGTAAAAACGTTAGGTTAATTTAAAGTATTTGAATTTTCTTTACGATCAAGTGAATGTACCTTAAAATTGATTCCACCATGAGAGATTTGTGTAAATTTCATTTTTCCAAAGTTGCTAATTGTACTCAGTCTTAATGTAAGACAATGTTATTGTCCTTTTTAAAAACATATTTTTATTGATTTTCTCATCTTCCGAGAAATTAAAAAAACTCTCAATAAGATAAAAATGTTTGATGATATATTATTTTTTGGTATCTGTATTAAAGGAGGTAAATTTGGGATTAGCAACTTTGTTGCTTTATTTTTCAACTTTTCTATCATTTGGAGTTTTAATCTTCTTTCAGACATATTTGTTTTTCATTTCCCATTTGGCAATAACTTTTATTAAAATTAAAGATGCCTAAGAAACTGAGGTCTTTTTACTCTGTTTTGAAGATTTATATTTCACATATTAGACTAATTTATTCTGTTTCTTATCTCTTTTTGCTTATTACTTATATTTATACTTAAACGTTCTTTATATTTCCATTAGGAAATGGTATATGATCTCTTGTTGAGCTTTCTTATTATCTTAGGTATGTGATGTTATCTTGAATCTGACTTTTGTTACAAGTTCTTCTTTTGCACATATCTGCCTAACAGGCAAGGTCTGCACAAAGTGGAAGTTTGAGCAGATGAATGACAGCCAGAGGCAGAAACTAATAAAATGACTTCTAGTTCTCTTGGCTAACTCAACAATTTCCTGATTTGTTGCTTGAGGTCTGATTCATCTCCAGTGCTTATTGCTGGGAAAGATTCCCAAGCCCCTACCTGCCCTTCCTCAAAGATTCCCACTCAAGCAGACCTTGGATGCACTCCAGAAATCTGCAGTTTGAAGAGAAGCACTTCATGTGATGATAAAACTAGAACTAGATCTGAAAGTTTAAGCCATATGATTTCATCGTACTTTACAGACTGGAATTTCTTAGAGCTACTGCAAAAAAATTACTGCAAGTAAGATGGTTTAAAACAAAAAGATCTGATCTTTCATAGTTCTGGAGGCGTGGAGTCCACGTGTCAATAGCATTTACTGCACAGGCTACAGAGGTCATGCTGCATATGTGGCTGCTCATGGAAGTAGTCATTAAAACGCTTCCAGATGACTGTTTTCAATCCATTTCTGGCAAACATTTTTATGGTACCTATAACTCAGTCCCTTCTTTCTCTTTCACTTCTTCCACCATATTTCCCTTAAATTCCTCCAACCCTTAGCTGCTACCGCTTCTCTGTTCAGTTTAAAACTCTGCACTGCAACAGCTAATCTGATGCCTTATCCGTCACTGGGCAATAATAATTCTAACTGCTGAAACAAAGCCCTTTAAATTTCAGTCAGAAGTAAAGAAATTCTTTAGAGACTTCATCGGCATTGATTTCCTCCTTAGTAAAGTACAACCTGTGGACGCATGCCTGCATACAAACACACAGAATAAATCAGATAAATGAGAGAATGTTTGTAAAATTCTCTATAGTGAAGGCATTTACAAGTATTTCAATAAAAATCGAACTATTAATTTTCTTCCTATTTGTTTCAAATAGCTTTTTTAATCATGAAGTCAGAATATACATACTTTTTCAACTGGATTTGAAAAATTTATTTCAGGAAATAGCAGCATTCTTCCAATCCTTTATTTTTAAACACTAAAATTATTCCTTGAAAAGTATCATGTTGAAGTTATATTTTGCTCTAGAGAACATATCAGTTCTGTCATGCTGAGGTACATTAGGAAAACAAACGTTCTGTGATTATTTGCCTAAGATGTAACCAGTGTCATCAAGTATCTTCTGTCAAGATAACTGTGTGTTGCTATGTCAAAATCTTTCTTTAGACCAGATACAAAGTCTTAGCCTACATCTGTATTTTGATGCAGTATTTTTAAAAGGTCCAGTTTGCCTATGACAATCACTGCTGTCTTGGCTGCATGGTCCTGACCATTAACTAGAGTTTGCTATGCAGCAATAGCAGAATTTGTCTTTATTCCTTTCCATTACTGGCAATACAGTCATGTCTAACTATGAAACAAAACAAAACAAAC